TGTATGAGCTTGTCTTCATGTTTTCAAGAAAAAATACGGTTGCAAAAGCAGCAGACTTTAGTGAAGGAGGACAAATACAATAAAACAATTTCCCTAGGGAATTTCTAATAGAGACATGTGAATTAATATATCCCATTATTGTTCATCTTTTATGATATATAGGTGTAGAAACAAACACATAATAGTAGCACAGAATACCTTCAACTGGAATGTCGCCCTGAAAAATGCAAACTGACATGTAGTTTTAATTTGTTTGTTCTTGACTGGGAAGCACAACATGCAGAATCTTAATGAGCCATGGGGTAGCGATCGCCAATCCTAGACATGTTTATCTTGCATTGTCTTTGCTGCTTGTGGCAGCTTTTTAATTTGGGTATATCCGTACCCCACTCTGAGACAGTTTTTTGGTGGCTTCATAAAGGTATTAAGGTTATTACTGCATGCTCATGCTGTGGCTGGACAGTGGGCATTCAGGTGATTCTGATGCAGTTCATTTGTTCCTCTGTGCTCCGAGAAGCCACTAAATAAAACCTCACTTACTACAGAAGCTTTAAATAAGGCTGTCAGATAAGAAACCAGTTTTCATACAGGTTAGGTAGCATTTCCAGTTTTGTTTGAGGCTGAGATGGGGTTAGTGCCTGGATTCTCAGGTGATAACGTTTTACAAAGTGATCTTTTCATGTATCTGCCCCATGGTGGAAATCTGACAAGACTGGTTTTTCCTGAGACCCTACTGAGCCATTTTCCTGTCCCACCAATTTGCCATAGAGCTCGGTGTGGAGAAGGATCTGGCTCAGTATTATGTTATATTATATCCTGGTTCTGCCAGGAAACAGCTACTAAAGTTAAGCTATGGTTCAATTTGTTTGTTTCCCCGCTTGACTTCTCCCTTTAGCTAGCCTTTGATGCAGGCCTAAATATTCTCAGCAGATACTTGCCGTCTAGAATGTCCTATACTCAGTAAGATAAAGTTCCTGCCAGCTTGGAACCATAATTTTTCATTTTATCTTTTCAAGCTTTGTACACAGTTTGGATCAGGCTTGTTAGATCCAAGGAAGGGAGGAGTAGAGTTTGACTGCTGAACTGAGATTCTCTCTTCTGCTCAGGGCTATCCTGGGTGCTGTTAGATAGGCTGTATTCTAACACAGTTGTTTTGAATGTTACTTTTCTCCTTGCCCTCCCTTTACTGACTCCTTTCTTCTAAGAAATATAAGCTGCTTGTTTTCACTCTTAGGGACCTCCATGCCTAGTGGAACCACCTTTGTGATCTCTCACAAGAATGTCCAGTGGCTGATATCTACTTCTCATCAGTCCATCATGACAGCAAACGTTGCTCACTCATTACATTTTCAAGTATATTTGTGCTTCCTCGCAAGCTACCCTCACACCCTTGGAGGGACTCTTCGTCTACATCCATCTCTATATTTCCTTGATGTCATTCAGGTCCCCGTTAAAAGTCTCATTTACAAAAACCTGATGGTTAAATGTAAACTGCTGGCTGCTATTCACTCATTGTTTCCTTCTAAGTTGCTAGCGGTCTGTTGTCTGTCTTTCTGTATTTTTTCATAAGCTTTTGGGTGCAGAAAAAGAAGAATCAGGTCTCTTTTTTCCTATGTTTATAAAACTCTAAATATGACAGAATTACTAGAATTTCTAGGCTGCGTGCATGATAGGCACAATAAATGACAATATGGCATATCACTCCACAGAGGAAGTTAACCTTACATATTCGAATGCTCAGTTCTCGTAAATGAACTTAGCTCCCTCCAGCCAAACGCAACTCTGGCCCAGGATATTTGCCTTCTAAGTTATTATTTTTAATATGGGTCCAGATGATAGCAGTTTAAATAAAGTACTGAACTCATCTATTTTATTCTTAATTTATAGTGGTGCTTAGGGGATATGCAGATATTTAAAAAGAGTAAAATCAATTAACTTGTGATCCAATTATTTGTGTTAGCCACTATGGGGTTTTATTTTAGAGCACTGGATCAGACTTCCCCAGTTAAGCACCGTGCTTTGAGAATGTAAACCTTTCATTTTGAAATATGATGAACCTGTGGTTATCTTTTCTCTGTTTGCAAATGAATTCCTATTTTTGTCCTTTCATAGTTCTTAAATCCCCTTCTTTACTTTTGTTTTTGAAAGGGGCACAGTATAAATATAACGGATTTTTCTGAATACTAGGAAGTCTATTCCTTATATAAAGGCGGCCGAACAGGCAAAAGAGTTCACCTTCTAGATAATATACGCTATATTTTTCTGGGCCTCTCTATTTCACAGTAGATACTCATCTTTTGCAATCACAAATCTGTGATTTATTCACTTTTCACGTTATAAATTTAGAGTAGACCCACGTGACAACTTCTGTGATTTGATCATTCTGCTTTTTCATCCATCTTGAACAGATTTGAGTCTAATGTTCCAGACAGCTTCAAAAACACTCAATGTTTATATGGTCATTTCTAAAATGCAAAGAATGCTAGGGGTAAGTGTATCGCTACACTTGGAATTATTTGGCTGGGCACAGCCTGTGCCTGTAGCTGTCGTCATTTCCTTGATCTGCAGGTGCCAGAAGCTCTGCAGTTTTATGCCCCCAGCAAGCCTATGTGCCCTTTCTGCACTACTAACTCACTGCAATTGAAGCTACTGAGAGCCCTTCCTAAATAAGGAGAAAATAGGAACACAGAAGAAAGCCCAGCCCAGCTGAGATATCCTTGAATTAGATGTCCTTAAACTGACATTCAATAGTTTTTGAACTAGCTGGCATATCGTGGCAATCTTTTCCATCATAGTCTGGCACTGGTGGGGTAAGCATAATAAATTTATCTCACTGGCTTCACAATTATGTATCTGAATAAAATAGCTAGATCTTGAAATATTTTACCCTAACAGCTCTTATCGTTCCCAAGGTGATCCAGGGAGTATTGAACACTTAATTGAATCAGACTAGTGGATTAAGGAAAAGATTTTTCAGAAGCATCAATATGAATTAGGAGCAGATGCCCAGTGAAATCTAAGGGTTAGATTCTTTAGGATTAAGTTCCTTGAAGTCTAGTCACCGTTTTACAGAGATAAATAGGAATTGTTTGGTACTGAACACTTGTTGGGAAAAATTCTGGCCCTTATGGTTCTGATGTCTCATTTTATACATGCTCAAGCTGAGACAATATGAAATAATACAAAAGTATCCATTGGGCTAATCTCTTATTTTCAATTAGCATAAGAGGTGTCCAAGGGTGCTTTCCAGTGGCAGCATTTTGCTGAGCAGGAAGGAATATAATCTTGGTAATCAGTCCTCTGTTATTTCCAAGATTCTTAATAGAGCTTTTCTTTTGATTTGTTTCAAAGCAAGCAAAAATATTGTTATATTATCGTTTAAAGTTAATTAAACAGCAAATGAGCTTAATGATCTGTCTGAAACAAAGCTCAATCACAACCTGTTACATATTAACTATAAAAATCAAAAGAATCTTTATATTCTTTGTTAAACATACCAAAGAAGATAGAAATAGCCAATCATTAATGTCATCCTTTTATAAAATCAAGTTTGAGGCTGGAAGGCTTGAACTGAATGCATACACTCAAATTATACAGCTAAATTGAAAAACGGTTTGAAATCATAAGTCAAATCTGTTGGAAGAAATGAAAAAAAATAGATAACTGAAGACAGGAAAAGACATAGTTATCTCCTCTGTATTTTACTATGAGGAAATCCATTTTACCTACTATTTGTCCAGCTTGTGAAATCTATATATTAATAAAATGCCATTTCCTGGATTCAACATTCTCACAAAATCTTCTGTAGTGTTATGACTTCATGTGGTCTATAAGACAGAACAAAAGACATTTAGTCTATTGAGGTTTTGAATCCACTCGGGTGATTTTTCCCTGGAGTGATATGATGTCACCGACAATGTAACTTTTAAGCGGCGCACGTACAGCAAAGCCTATTTGTGTCATTGAAGTTTGTAATTTTGGACTTTTGAAGGCTTAATCCCTAGAAATGCTAAGATTTCCTAATGATCTATAATGGTACTGCTGATGTTCAGCACTTCTCAGGATTAGGTATGTTATCATTCTGGTTTATCCACCTATAAAGCAGGTATTATCTTATCACTCTTATATACAGTGCTTTTAGCACGTCAGCCTCAAGTACTTGAAAGGTGAGGAGTATTATTAAGTCTGACCCTTACAAGCTTTTCCAATGATTTGCTTAATATTTTTCCTACATAAATAAGAATGATGTTATACACTTTTTGTCTGAGTAGTAAATTAGCGAGAATTTTCTCATAGGGCTTGGCTAGCTGAATAGTCCAGCAGTGCAACAAACTTCACAAGGTCATAAAAAATTCTTCCACTGAAAAAAGAAAGTAACACTGACTTATAGTTATGCCGACAAAATGGTAGCATGAGGTCCAATTATTTTTGTGTCTCTTAGAGCAACCCCTCCAAAAAACGGTATGGGAACACTTTTTGTGAAAAATGTTTTATGTATTGATAACAGTGTAGTGAAAAATTAATAAGAGTGGGGTAATTTATGAAAATAAGAGTCTGAAATGCAAAACTGGATTATTTGTAAATAATAGTACATTCGAGGGCAAGAATGGGCTATATATTAGTCAGCTTCCTCTTCTACTTAGCTAGGAGTATAGTTCCCTTTCTGAGAGCATATGCAGCTGTGGCACACTATATATTTTCAGGATTCACTTTTCCAGTAATATGAAATGAACTGTTGTCTTGTGATCAGAATCTTCCAAAGCTTGATTCCCAACATATTGCTGCTTATCTGCCATCTATTTAATGGAGAACAGCTGTAATGTGCTACCTTGTATTTCATGAGTGAGAATGTATGATTTGGAGCCTATAACAATCAGTTTCAGTCAAGGATTACATCTTTCTCCTGTTATGGTAAACAATTAATGCTGGCTTGGATATTTTGTGTGTGTGTGGTCATTAATTGAAAATAGTAACAATTTCCTCTATGTTTTTTTTTCTAGTTTCAAGCCACAGTAAAGGAGGGAGTCACGGGCGTAATAGTAAACTTAACCGTTGGTGACCGAGATGACCCAGCAACTGGAGCATGGAGAGCTGTCTACACCATTATTAATGGAAATCCAGGGCAGAGTTTTGAGATCCATACCAATCCCCAGACTAATGAGGGAATGCTCTCTGTTGTCAAAGTAAGAACTATTTGCTGTTGTACTATATTATTACTGTAAGGTCCACCTGCTGGATTTACTGCATAAAAGGCAGTGCAGCAAGGATATGTTACTCAAAAATATATAGTTGGCTACCAGCCCTTGTCACAACAATATGTTATAACCCCTTCTTCTGTCACAGTAACCTTACTTCTTTAGTCATAAGGACCTGCCTGTTGTTAACTATAGTGTCATTGTGCTTAAATAACAGCTAGTTTTGTAGTAAGCATCACAATTAATAGTGAGACTTCACAACACAGTTCTGTTTGTGACTGAAGGTACAATTAGAATTCAAGGGCCACATTTTTTTCTCGGAGAACACAGATGCAAATACCAGGGAAGTGAGGGATGTAGCTTCAGACTGAACTGGAGAGCCGCCTTTGGTCCCACATTTCTAAAGTCTCACGGAAAAAATTATTACCTGTCTTTGTATGAAGATAATTCTGTATCTCACACTTTTTTAAAAGAAAATAGTCCTGGTTGCTGCCTGTACCAGGATTTTCTCTGTTTGACTTCAGAAGAGGTATTTTCAATTCTAAAGACAAATGGAATGTTTTTCCATGGTGGTGCTTTTGATTTCAAGGTAGGAGTTGAGAAAATAGCCTTATCTTACTTATCATAAGTAGCTACTAAGTATGACTCTGATTTGTTTGCTAAATGCATGTTACATCATAAATAAGCATCTATATATGAGAATTAAATTATATCTATGAGGTATGGCGAAAAAGTACATGCTCTTGGATAGAGGGACACCTCCATCTTTCATTAAGTTCATTATCTTCAGTGCACTTTATAACTACCATTGTGTCTAATGCTAAACTCTGACCCAGTATCAGATGAGATGAATGCTGCTGTCCCATTCTGGCTAATCCTGTCTTCTGCTGGTTTGCAATGGGGTACAAGGAAAAAGTGTTAAGTACTGTCTTTGCACCTTACACTCTGATTTTATAATGTGTTTTACAGCCTTTAGACTATGAGATTTCGGCATTTCACACACTGCTGATCAAAGTAGAAAATGAAGACCCGCTGATTCCAGATATAGCCTATGGCCCCAGTTCCACGGCAACAGTTCAGATCACTGTTGAGGATGTGAATGAAGGCCCAGTTTTCCACCCAAACCCAATGACAGTGACAAAACAAGAAAACATCCCTATAGGCAGTGTTGTGTTAACGGTAAATGCCACTGATCCAGATACTTTGCAACATCAGACTATCAGGTGAGTGCAGTACCCTCTAATTTTCATCCATCAGAAAGTGAGTATGTCTTTTGTGCCTAAGAATTTGCCTGCCAGTACAGAATTAAATTAAAGTTGTTTGGGCTCTACATAATAAGTGGCATTTTTTTTTCCTACAATGAAGAGATTCAGTATGACGAAAACAAAGAACTGCATTAGACAGGGGGCAATAGTTTCCCAGGCTATGAGATTACTGCAGTAGAACAATTGAGTGTCATGAGCAACAGACATAGCTTTGCATAGTGTTTCAAAACGACTTTTCACCAGTTTGTTTATTCCTCTTCCTTCATGAAAGCCAGAGAAAACATGTAAAAATTGAAAATGTGTATAGAAATAATTTATGTTTTGCATATGGATTAAGTTAATTTATGATCATTTACAATGTCCGTCAGTGAAATAATTACTATCCATCCACATTCAAAGGAAATCCTTCCCAGTGAAACACTGAAGCTACAGTAAACTAAAACTTGGCCTTGCCCAGATAGATGAAAGTAAACTATTATTTCTGTACTATGATAACGTAATCCCACACATGTGCCATGTCGCAAGGAGCAAACCTAAGTATTAAGCGGTGCCATCATCTTACATTTTGATCTACCTGGTCTGGTCTTTTGTTTTTAGATTTGTGGAAAAATGAAAGATCAACCGCTTTCTTCTCTAATACTAAATTGACTTTCCAGACAGCTTTTCTCAGCATTTGAGAACTGCAGGTTAGGCACTAAAACTAAAAGCTATATCTGTGGCTTTTTTCATTCTTACCTGTGAGTCTAATTTCCCCTAGATATCAATGTATATAAAAGGGCATAAACATCTTTGTGAGAATGACTTCAAAGCTTTACCTGAACAATGTGCAGTCAATCTATACCATGGAGGTATAGATTTCTCTACTATCACAGGATTATTTAGCAGTGATTGTGCACTTCTTAAAGAAGGTCTGACATATGTACTGTTCTACAAAAAAAGAAAGCTACTGATCTTGAAGATGTTCTCTGTCAGTAACAAATGTTAGTAAACATGCCATTGCAAAGGACCGCACTGACAGCCTTGGATTCAAATGATGAGAAGGTGAATTTAAGCAGGTGAGTGTGCTCATCTCCAAGGAAGAAGGAAAAAGGGAAGGCAGATAATTAAAAGTTTCAATTCTTTGCATCACCTCAAAAATACCTGGTTAAGGGAATACGAATCGTTCAGTTTTTCTCTATCAAAAATGCCTTTGAGTTCTGCCATTGAAATTACCAGCTTATCTGAAGGATGATTCTTAGCATATGTCATTCCCCTTGTTTTCTAAATTTGTTTATTTACGGAATGCATTTTTATTCTTAATTTTAGTTTTTGCTCCAAGGATTCCTTATTTCATTCACTGGGGTCACACAGATTTGTCTATGGATGGAAAAACTATGGCATTTCTATTGTTTGTCAGATACAGCAATATGACCCTCAGCAGCATTACTCAGAACCTGGTTTGTGTAGCGAAAAGATATTTGTTCCATTTGGGGTTGGGACTGAGGTTAAGAAACATAATTATTGAAGTTCTCCATAACTTTATGTATTTTCATGGGAGATAAGAAGAGTCATATTAATTATTGTAACAGTTGATTTTGGGATGCTAAAAGAGAAAAACCAAGAAAAATACAAGAATTTGGTTATCAAAACCAACAAGAAACCAGAAACTATTATCTGAATTTTTCCCCTTGACCTACTGATTTTGCTGAATTTCTCCTAACTACATTGGCACTGAAATTATAGAACATACCAATGAGTCGCTGAAAACTCAAAGTTAGCTTTGGGTATTGTGTGTAACCAGCTAAGTAACATAAACACTTTCTGCAGTCCACCACATCTCACACCGGGCTGCAAAAGAACTCTAGAAACCTTGACTATAACTAGCTCATAATCTGTAAGTTAGAAGAAAATAAAGCAAGTGTAATGGAAATCTGGGAAATAGCGGAATGATTCAGGAAAGGCTAATTCAACTACCTGTACCACCTCCTGTTGCTAAAATAACAGGAAAGCATAGAGTAGCATTTTTAAAAGATGCTTTTAACACTAACAGGTATTTTTGAAACACATAGCTACTAGCAGTGAAAAAGGAAGACTGTAGTATATGAGAACAGTTTCTGCAATTAAGGATAGTGTAAAGTTGCATGTATAGAGGCCAAAGCTACTCACTAGTTTGGGTCTTCCAGAAATGTTTTCTTATAAGTTCCTACAGGCAGGTGTGTGTTTAGAGTTTGGGCCTAGGTCCAGGCCTTTTGTAAAGAATGCATACCAAACTACGTGGTTCTCAGACTATGCTGTTATCAATTATATCATCAGAGTCCTTACTATGATTATACTGGTAAAATAAAGACCAAGCAGGCACAATACAGACTTTTAAATGAAATAATAGACTAAATATCGATAACCACGAGCAAGCAATGTTTTGCGTCTGCAAGAATCAATGAATACCAGATTTGTATTGTGTGTGCTGTGTGAAAAATGTACATTACCCCCAACAAAGTATATATCTGTTCAAAATGTACAGACGGATACAAACAAAGGAAAACCAGATAATTAGTAATGTTACTTTTTTCTATTTTCAACCTGTAACAACTGAGATATTTTTAGTTAGTTTTCTATATAAAACTTGTAGGAGGGGCTGATGATTATTTGTAATCAGAAAATTTAGTTATTCTACTAGATTCAACATCATAAATGCATTTCAAGAACCATGAATAGTGTATAGAAACCATTTGTGCCATTGTCCACATCTAGATTGTATTTATTCTTTGAACATTGCATATCTGAATCAGATTCAAATTACTTATCTCTTCAAAAAACGTGGCTTACTTTGTAAAAATTCCTAAAGACAGCTGTACTTTTGAAGCAATTTTCTTTCTTATTCTTCAGCTTGAAGTGTTTTTGCAGACTGAGAAGGAATTTCATTTAAAAGTTCAAACAAGCTGGCAAAAATGTATTACACTGAAAAACATATGACTCCAAGTATTTGTAAGACTCAAAAGCACGTACTTTGAGCTCTAGCTATTTGTCTGCACATGATTAGCCGTTAACTTTTATGGTGTCAGCTCTTCTCTGATCTACTGATGTTAACATTTCAAAGAAACTCAAGGTAGAGGTAGAAACATCATCCTGGAAACAAGAACCGCATGCTCATATTGACCAGCTAAATAATGTAGGCATCAAGTTTAATCTTAGTCTAAATTATACCTGTTTAAAACTAGGTTAAGACTGACTTTCACAACTATACCCAGATCTGTGATTTCCTATGAAAAGTCTGCAATAAGTATAGTGAGCTTTGGACTCCAGATGTTGTAGAAAGGAAAGAGCAGACGGAAGCAGTGGTGTTTCCTGAACACATACCTTTGGGTGGAAAGTAATGTTGGTTCTGCTCTGATCACTCCCAGAAAGAAAAGGAACCTGTTCAAGTTGGATCATGTTTCTTAGATTCATTAACCTATTTTTTTTAAGCGTTTAATTCCCTCTATGGTTTTCAACTTTTTTAGAATTAAAAAATTAAAGAAATCCAGCAGGCCCCATTTTAATTATAACCCATCAATTTATTAATAGAACAGTAATGAAGCTTCTGAAATTTGATTTCTTAATCAGGGATCATTGTTATTTTTGTGCCAGATTTAAGAGTTTAATTTTGGGTGCTTCTTCCCAACCTCTGAAATTTTAATCAGAAGTTTCAAGTGTACATGTCAATGAGAAGTTAAAGGCCAAATTTAATAACATTTTCTACCTTGGGAAATTAAAAGAAGAGCCTCACTCTCTGAAATCCATTATTAACAGTAGATCTTAATTAAACACCTTTACGGTCCTCAATATTTTGTCTGTGTGAAGAGATTGGTTTCAGTATTTTTTCCTTTTTTGGATTCAACAAGTCCAGGATATTCAATAGTTAGACTTTTAACTATGTGTAAATAAGTTGTTTACTGCAGTGTATTTGTAATTTTTAATTAAAGCAACGTTGTTCTCTGGTTTTGTGGTTTATCATGGCAATGTATTTTTATTACCTACTGTGCTCTTGGATTTTAAATTATTTATATAAATGTATTATTGCAGTATTTATTCTCAGTAAGCAATATGACTCAATGCTTCAGAAATATCTTCACAAGAAAAGTTTATTATAGCTCTAAAGCATATCTAATTCATTAAGTAGAGCTAAAATGCAGTGTTTGAAGCCGGAGAACTTAGAAACGGAACCCAAACTGCGGTGAGTTTCATGGGAATATGAAAGACTACCAAAAATATCTGAAGCAATATATGTAAATAAGATATATATTTGTGTGTGTGTGTGTGTCTGTGTGTGTGTAATTTTTTTTTTTTTTATCTGCACCTTAATCCAGCTGATTCCACATAGGATAAATGGCTTCTGGAAGCACAGGTACCTTGTCTTAGTGCTGAAGTCTCAACTGTTGTAATTTGAAAGCCAATTTTTTGCTTGGAAGTTGACATCCTTTTATTTGATTCTGGTATCCTTATATCACCATATCATTAATTTAGTGGAATTACACAAATATGAAACCAGTAAATCTCCATTAGTTTGAGACTAATGAATTCAGGTTAGAATAGCCTGTGACGGATCCAGCTACCCAGCTGCCTGTTAACCTGCAGCCTGGACATTCGACTGCTGTGGCACAGCCATTATACTGGCACTGTGTTTGATAGCTCTGCTAGTCTGTAAATGGGAGAAAGGTCATATGTATTTTTTTCATCATTTCCAAATAACAGCTACTGGTCTATCTGGAAGTTGGATAGACTCCATTTCTCTTTACATAAAGTGCATTTTTCTATACTGCAAACTAAGTGTATAGATTAATAAAGCTTCATCCTTGAACATCAGACCATGGGGATGATAAGGCTGAACCTAACAGACACTGAGTTAAAAGTGATCACGTTTGTTTATTTGTAATTTGACCAAGAGCCACTGGACAATGGGCTGGCCATTGATTGGCTTTGGGAACAGGAGCTTTTACTAC